AGCTAATGATGATACTATTTCTTAGGAACACTTTTGCTGGGTCCTATTTGTCACTAAACCAGATATATAACTCAAACAGATCACTGGAAGGGATATAACTCATTACCAACCCTAGGATTATTCATCATAGAGTAAGCCACACTGATGATTTCATGGGACCAGATCAGTTGTAGTGAAGGATTCTGGGAGAAACTGAAGAACAGGATTAGAGCGATTAACAGATCTCAAAAGGATATTATTCACAGTTCATTAAATGAGTACATATATAGAATGTGGTTCAGCTTCTCTCTTGATACTGTGGAAGACTGGGAGTCATTTGATATGTGAAATATCTGTTCCAGGTAAATGAGTTTAGAAAGCACATCACAAGATACAGTTAAGATCTTTAAGTTTTCTGTACTGAATCTCAAGACGTGGAGATAGATAATCACACACACATATATTTGTAATAAAAACCCATGTCTATAAAATTGTATAACTTGATCAACACTCTTGAGTTTCTATGCAGTTTCTATGTTCAACAAGCAAATCTGAATATGAGTTTAGGTCGTCATTCAGGTGAATATTTAAACAAAATTTAGAGCATTGTATATAGACAGATAGGTATCAGATATGAATTGCATTTGTCTAAATCTCAGCATTGACTTTAGGTGGCTTGAGGCAACTGGCATAAATCCCTAGACTAGAAAAATAACAGTGATTACTGTCCAGTAGTTGGTCAATTTAAATCTCGATGTTTTATGACATGCACTCCAGTCACCCCAGCAGCCAATGTTTTAACCCAGTCTTAGCCTTCGTAGGTTTAGCCTGAAAATATAGCAATTTTTAGGTTAGGTAAAATTACGTGTATATAACGAACTATTCCAACAGAAAAAGAATATCTTTTCTAACATATATACAAACCAGTCTGTAATTTAATTATTCATCAATAGTGAAAACAACGCTAGGTAAAATAAGCTGTTGTTTAAGATAAACAGTAAAAATTTATCCTATAAATTATGCTACCATTAAATTCACTTTTATTCTCCTACGAATCGTGTCATTGGCCAAATGTACCAAGAAGAATATTGAAGCGATTTTGTTTGATTGGATGGGGGACTTCATTATGAGCTGACATCAATTAGAGAAGCAATGGAAAACCTGGGAGTACTGGACAACTGTTTGGGACTCTTCGGCAGTACGCACCAACCGCCAGGGTTCCAACCCAAACTAGGACGAAACACCTGTCCAGTACTCCCGGGTTTTCCATTGGTTCTCTAACTGATGTCAGCTCATAATGAAGTCCCCCATCCAAAAATGTTTTAGTCAGTTTTGATTTTCTTGTTTGATTATGTAGTCAGAAAAGTTCAACCTCTATTGACATTTCGGTTCCTAGTAGGGACGCTTCTGTGATGTCTGACGATTAATTTGAAATAATTTTGTGAATGATGAGCATCAGCAGAATCCAGAATACTAATTTTTTCCTACTTGGGGCTTGTCAGCTGAATGTGCGTACAATCCCCAGTGAGTGATGGCATTCCCACTGAGAATCGTACCCAGTAGGCTCCGTTTCAAATGCCAGAGAGTTTATTAAAACTACTTGGGCCACGACACCCAGCTTCTATGCAATGGGCAACTTTTAGTATTTGTTTAAATCAGTCATTGGGGGTTGCAGGCACAACCATTTGACGAGTCCTAAATGGGATGAAATGCGCATCCTAGATTCCACTGATAGTCACTATCCTTTAAACCACTTATAAAAATGTAACTAGTTGCTGTAATGTTACTAGCAATTAGCCAGTAGTATAAGTACATAATTGCAAATATTTTTAAAAAAACAGAATAACAGAAATAGTTCCAACAGTGGTGTGAACACGGGCAGTAATTTTGCTCAAAATATTACCAATAACAAAAACTTATCATTGTGTGTAAACTATTGAAATATAATTATACTTTATTAGATATATAGAATCCACAGAAATGAGAAGTCTAGTGAGTTTCATTCACTTTTCAGTGATTCTCCGGTTGGTCTAATACTAATTGGTTTGAATAGTAATTGAGATTAATAAAGTTCTTATCAACTAAGGAATTTAAGAGGATGTTTTGATGAACACATCGTAGATCCTCATATTTTTCATGGTTACTTCCAAGAATATGAGAAGGTAATATAGTGGACTTCGGCGTAGTTGTGCTCATATGAAGTAGGTGCTGAGGATGTTGTCTAGTAAGACAATGAAGGCTTCGCAACTTAACCAATAAGCTCAGGGAACACAACTTCATCAAAATCATCCACTAAATCTACAAATTTTCTTCATTATATAATTGATTTTAAAACACACATGAATACTAACAAACTTAATAAATTATATTAGATAAAACTCTCTCACTCCAAGCGCTTTGGAAGTGTTTCTTGTTGGTCGAAACAACTATGACCAAAAGGATTTAACTTAGTTAACAAACAGTTTTCAATCGAATTGACCTGTATGTCATGTTATTGTCGTCATTTTCATTCACTCTAGAGACATTCAGCTATTTATTAATGGGTGATATTTACTACTGGTGGATACGAAGATTTTCAAACCCCTCACGTCGGTTACTGGTGCTGGCTAACTAGATGAAGGTTATCTGAAAGTGTAGGCCATCTTCACTATTGTTACTGGAACCATCATCCACTCTGTTGGTGTGACTTTTTACCTGAATTATCTCATTTCTATACACATGTGATCTGCAGTCTTTAGGGTTGAGAGATTCGTGTTGTTGAGATATGTGACAGGTTTGTTGATAGGTTAAAGCCCCAGAATATGGATAGATTGGAGAATCAATGGGAAAAGAGTAGGACAATGAAGATTGTGGAGCCTCGATGTCTTGGCCTATGTTAGACTCGTGTTTATTGCGATGGGAAGCCATCTCATTTACGTTCTTCATTGTAAAGATATGATTTAAAGCCAAAGCTATGACGGCTGTTGGTGGTATTCACAGGAGTGTGTCTTTCGGTTTTCACCCTGTTTGCAGGAGGGATATAGTGCAAGTTTTCCGATGATATTGCCAACACGATTATTTAGACGAGAATCTGAAAGGTCAGAGTCACCAGACGCTTCCAGATAAGACCCGTTATCATAAGACAAATCGCCTTCGGATATCATTTCATAATAGCAAAAAGTTATGATTCAAACAAAGATGTCAACTAAGACAAAAAATATACAAAACGTATCATTTTTCTATTTAACAAAATGTCCACAATATCATCACTCTGGGCTGTACAAAAATGGTATCAAGAAATCAAACGAAATAGCGAGGAAGTATGTATAACATCATATAATATAGATAGTAGAGTGGTATTTGCTACTTATAAGCCGATATAAATCATATATATATACAGAGAGAGAGAGAGTTATGTCTTCAGGGAAGCAATCCTAATTATTGGGAAATCCAGTGAATTAGAAGGATGAGAGGAAAGTTACAACTCCTAAGAGAGCCTAATTAGCAATAAGTGACAACAAACGAAACATACTCAATACAGATGGAATGAATAGTAGTGGGATTAACAGGAAACGTTCAACACCTTATGAATATCCCTTATATTTTATCCAAATCAATATTAAATATACATCGGGATATTATACGCCACTTGCATTTCGGACCCTTTTGTTTATCAAGACAATCTCACACAGTTAGCATACTGATAGTCACACAACGTTTAATGTTTTTGATACAGATGCTGAATATATACTTCACACCTGTTTAACATAAAATAAAAGTCGAATATCCATTACGTTCTTATTATGAAGTAGCATAATTGTCTTTCTGAACTAAGCATCACTAGTTACTTAATACAGAAATAAGTATTATCAAATTTAATGCCAAAAAATACATTAAACCACTCTAGAAATTTAAACAATTTAAAAAGGTTGCTTAAACAACATATTACTGAGCATTACGCTATGAAAAACCGAGAATCTATCACCCAATAAATATTGCGAAGGAAATGGAGACGTATTGGCTTTACTCTGGAGAGTAATATCAGGAAAGAAGGCCTCAAGTGGAACCCGAATGCGAAACGAGTTGAGAGTCTTGGAGTGACTTGGAGGAGATCATGTGAGGATGAAATGCGGAACAGAGCGAAAGTGAGATAAGCTACTGAAGCAGTTTGTTACAGTCGGAAGTAAAAGAAATAATAATAGTAGGCAGTTAAATGGTGATACTGTGCATTAGGAATAAATTCTGACGTCACTAGTGAGCAGCTTCTTTACAGATCTTCTCAATGGTGTTTTACATTTTTGATAGTATAGAGGAAACAGATATTTTTCCTATTTATCATTCTAAACCTAAACAGTTTAGTTGCTCTTTAAAGATAGGAAATTAACAATCTAAAGCTAACTAACCGTGTATGACCAGAAAGATATCTATATCAATTTGCTAAGTGGTCAGGGATGTAGCTGATTTCCAAGCGGGTTTCACCACGAACCTAAGCTCTGCACAGCTTTTAGACATTCATCAGTATGCAACCCTACAGATAGACACATGAAAAATAATTTAGTGCTCATTAGAGACTACTGCGATGTAGATTTCTTGGAGGTCTAATGAGTAGTCAAGACTAGAAGGGTTCATTCTGAAGGGTGCGAAGACAGGTACTCACCGATAACTTTGACTCACAGTGGCGCTGGCAGAAGTTAGAATTCACGGACAGTCTCAGTGAAGGAATAGTAACCTGAAGTCTCCGTTACGACCTCCCATAGAGTCGTGGGTGAACACTGGTGATGGGTCTCACACTAGGGCCAAACATATGTCCAGTAGTCAGTGATTTTTAATAATTCTGTAAATGATGTCGGTTGCTGAAAAAGTCTGCCTTAAGTATTGGATATTTGTAGTCTCATAAACGTCTTTCTTTTATGTCTGGTAAACATTTTCAGGAGGTGTCTAAGAGTGTTGAAAAATATCTACATATTTTTTCCAAGAATATAATCAAAGAGAAATATAAAGAATTATTTATGCATTATTTGAATAAATATCACACAACTTACTCCAACATATTCCAGTCGCATTAATACTTTCCGGTATTAGTGTAAGCTGTCCTCCAGTAATAAGCTTCGACTTCTCTGAATGACTACTGCTCTGCATATCTTCAAAGTTACTGGAATCATGGTGATGATTATACTGATGACGATGATAATAACAGAATAAATCTTTGTCAATATCACATTTAAATCGTGGTGAACACATTTCACCTGATTGACGTGCACAATACCAACAACAATTACAACTATCACGAATAATTGGAATGCTTCCTGGGCAGATTGACTTTTCATTGATATCTGACCAAGAAGTATTACAGTCGCATACATCTGGACAGATTTTCTGTTTCTAGAGATTGAATGAAGGTTAAAAATTGAAAATTTATGATATTTTAGTGGAAAATAATATTTCTGAAGATTAAACTAGCTGGAATAGTTTCAAGTTATTAGTTGATATGCTGCATAATGGAAGTAAGCTGTCGTCGAATGTCATTCTGAAGGTGATATCTAATAACTACACAAGACATGAAACATGGTATCGAGGATATCTCGACATAAAAATAATTTTCTAATGACTCAATATTCTGTCAAGGCGGAATTAATTAAAATCGTTAACTTTCCCTCGACTCTGGTGGGCAGGGGGTCAATGACGGGCATTTCATCATATCCAGGACTCGTCAACTGAATATACGTAAATTCCATTGGGTGGCAGTGTTCCGACTGAGACTAGAAATCAGCATCCATTGTTTCAAACACTAAAAAGTTATTGATTAGGCAGAACGTCTTTACGTATGCCTGTTTTAGTTTTTCAAGATCGACTGTCGGATTCGTCTTTTATGCTGCCAAATATGTATAAAAATCTAAGGTTTCATATTTAGGAATATTAATTCAAATTGTGTAGATTATATGAACACTGTAATAAAAATTCAGGGCTGAATTCAGTTAGTTCAGAGTGAATTTGTACAAACGAAGATCATCAGCTTGATAGAAACTTTTCAAAATATTAATTCTGAAAGCTACCAGTGCTTTTAAAGTCGTTTTTACTTGGAGAAAGTAAATCAGCTCATAGACCTGTAACCCTATACATAATATGTTACCTGGTAGATATATTGTCTACGCTGTCATCATCTTTATTGATATGAGATGAGTTAGGTACAGGGAATTTAGACTGCAAAGAAGCTGATTGTAGTCAGGCGAAATATGACACCAATCCATGAAACCATAGACTGCCGATTTGAATTCACAAATGAAGGATGGAATTTCTGCTTGAGGCAACGATAAGAATCAAAACAATCACTCGGAATCTGTTTATGGTACATGACGTTTAAAATCATAAATATTTTATCTATAATCTATTTTTTTCGCTTACATTTAACATAATCATTTTCAAACTGGACTACGAGCTGGCATCAGTTAAAGAACCACTGAATACCATAGACTAACGAAACAGTTGTTTCATCCCACTTTGGGACTTTCAAGCACTACGTACATATGACATCACTCAGGACGTTCACATGATGAGACGAGCCCGTCGATCATACAATCACTGTTATGACATAGATTCGCCCATGAATTCTAGCCTCTACAAATTTGTGATATTTAGCTCCAATGCCAGACAGAGTCATCACGTTTGACTAGATAGACGTTACTCATCACCACCTACCACCAGTACTCCAGGCAACTTCATACTGTAGTCATTCATTAATGAACAGTAGATTAACATTTCAAGTGTTGTTTTGGAGTGATTTAATTAATTTTAAGTTATATCACCAACTGACCCCTGGATTTTGTCCCATAGGCTAGATGTTCGACGAGCTCACCTTCTAGTCTTGCCTCGATCCTCTATGAGGTCATGAGTCCAGACCACTGAAAAGTCCCAAACTGAGGCCATTCAGCTATTCAACAGTTCTCTAATTGATACCAGTTCATAATCTAACTTGCAGCCAATCAAATACCTACCAGCTAATACTTGAAAATCTTTATAGTTATTCTGTAAACCGTCTCTCACTTAAAACTTGTTGGATATTTATTTCGTCATTTTCTTTCCTTATATTATTTGTAACACCTATGTAATTAATTAACCTTGAATGCATTGGGAATACAATTATATAAAACTATCAGCTGACACGTTTTACCTCAATATATACTATTTCAACTGAATGACTTGTAAACACACTAAATGTCCGTTATCAAGAATGAAAACTTTAATGAATAATTACATCTGAATGGCAGATTTCAGTCTGTGAAGAAACATATGGATGTCAATCCCCTTTGGTTTAAACTGATCTCTGATAATTACATAATATGGAGAGAGGAAGTTTTTATTAACTTATAGTAGTCATTAACTAACTACAGCTCCACAAGTATATTATGAGAAGTCTGTGTAGTCTCAGCATTTTTTACTTCAATAAATGGATGTTCTGTTTCAATAAATTAAGTAATATTAAATTAGTATTCACCTCCTTGGCACAGCGGTAGAAAGCTTGCCAACCACGCATGTGGTTCGGGATTCGATCCCCTGCCGCCAACGCACTCCTTTACCTCGCTAAGCCATTAATAAGAGTGGTAAAGAGGGAAGGTTGGGTATGAGGCTAGTAACCCCATCCCGTAAAAATAAATACCACTTCTACCTAAACTTTTAAGGTCTAGCTTGAAGCCCTATGTTCCACTGGGATCATACAGGTATAAAAAAATGATAATATTCATTCCTTGTATTCTGATTGGAATATAAAATAAAAATAAAGTATGATCCTCAGTAGGTTCATGGGTGTTTATCACTAAGGAGTTTCATACTAGGAGTAGAAGGCTCTCCAGTATTCCTTGGTTTTCATTGGTTCTCCGAGTGATGTCAATTCGTGATCTAACTGAAAATCAATCAAATCCATTAAAAACAAAACTTAAAAATTATATACACGAATTCCTGCTTATAAATTTGAACAGATAAAGAACAAAACATTAATGGAAAATAACACTGATCCATTGTATTTCGTCGGTTCTCTTCAGCTGCCTACAACAAGCACCGCTTATAATGTTACCCCCAAATGCATATATCAATTGATGTGTATCAACGGGTGTAGCTACATTTTGAGAAAATAAATAAGGACTTGCATCAGATTCTTTGAATATGTACCAGACAGTCTTCAACTGAATTGGTCGAATAGTTTGACCTCGTCAATTACCAAACAAATCAGAGACCCAGGACACCAAATAGACGCATTGGGAGCATTCAAAATAATCAACAAACAAGACACACCAAGTCCTCTTCGGTTTGTTGAGGCCATGGCAATAGAATAACCAAAACCTGAAATTTCTCCAAAAGGAATCCATTGTGGAACTTTAATTACCCTGGTGACTTGCTCTGATTTCATCACTTTGGATTTTCTTCATTTTTCTTTTCAATTCCATAGTAAACTTAATTTCTGATCCGTTGAATTCGGCTCACTATATTTTACTGTCTCTGGTTACGCATTTATCACTGACTAATAAGCACCCAAATATAACAAATTTATTTATCTGCATTTTTCAAGAGTCGATTTGTAAGGATTTGATTTGATTTTTCGAGTTTGACCACGGACTGATATCAGTTAGAGAATCATTGAAAACCATGGAGTACTGGACAGCTGTTTCATCTGAGTTTGGGACTCATCGGGAGTACGCTGGGTTTCCAACCCACGACCTTTTGGTTACAAGGCAAGCTCGTATATCATTCAGCCACTGAGACCCGATCCACTGGCCAGCCCATGAATTCTAACTTCTACCAGTTCGTGATTTAGCGCGACCACCAACCAATGTCATCGGTGGGAACTCCATCCTAACTCCCAACTGGATGGACCTCACTGGTCACAACTTCTCACCAGGACTCCTATATATATTTTACGAGAAACTTCGCTCTTATGATATATATATTTATACTGCAAAACTTTAAGGTAGCTTATCATGCTAATGTTTTATTTCACTATGACGTTCTTACAACAGTCCTTACAGGAGGACTGATTCCTAATGATGAACAAAAGTGTGTTAAGTTTCTATTGTAACTTGTTTTACTGTAGTGTTACGCGTTGTACGTTACCGAGCTCGAAATCCAAATCTAGTCCTCAGTAGTAACTAACTGCAGGGAGTAATTCGAATGAACAGACACATTTTCATCGATGGCATTCCACTGGTGGAATGGTTAACGGGCTGGCTTCATAATCTTAAGGTCTTGAATTCTATCCCCAAGGGTGTCATGAGTGCTTACTGTTGAATAATCTCAAAATGGGGCGAAACAGATTTCCAATACTCCTTCTCCTAAACCTCCACCTATGTACAGAATATGCAGGGAGATATAGTGACCTTAGTTAATATAAACAAGTAGAAAATAGAAATTAAAATCAAATGCTACTGTATTAGACGGTATTCTGATATAACGAGAATATGAAACCGATCAGATATACGATTCGACTACTATCGACTGGACAGGAAGTCAGAGATCTCTAAAGGATCTAAAAGGATCTTTAAATAAATTCTTATGAAATTTTAAAAAATGTATAAATGAAACATTATTTTAATTGATGACATTTAATGATATTTTTCTGAGTAAAATTCCCTCAAGAAAAAGGCCAAGACAACTTTACCTTTCCTATATTGAAGTGATTCAATGACTTGTTAAAATGCAGTGAACATTCAGAGCATAAAAGCGTTTGATTTACATTTATCCCATGCGAAATGATAGACAATATTCCATTTATAATCAATAGCTTAGTCAGTATTATCATCCATAGATAGTGTAATTTCATTCTGACTCAATGAAATCTAAGTATTCATGTCCTAATGTTGATATATTTTTCCTATGCATACACTTAAGATACTAGAAATTCTGATTTGCATTAAAATCCACCAAAAATTTATATAATGAGATCATTTTTATGCATAGAATGTATACAGTTTTGTCAATGAGTTGAGAAGGTTATCTATCCTGCATGACCTTGAGACATTTGTTTAAATCGACCAATAGAATATTTACTTATCATCATACCAAATAAATGATACTATACTATAGAAACAATGATCAATCAATTTCCCTTGTAATTTTGTACACACACATAATTGGGAAATAAAAGCATGAATATTTTATAACTTGTTCGTACTTTTAAAATCAATAATGTCAGAGAAATATTTTCTTTTGTCATTTGTATTAGTATGTCTTTTTAAGCAATACAGTAAAGCAGATGGTTAAATATTTGATCTTAAAAATACTCTCGTTACCGGAATAAATGTACAAATTATAACATTTGACTATTGATTTTTGATTAATAATTTGTTAGGATTTCGACAAATGTTTCTTTTTATCAGAAACGATATCAGTTAGAGAATCACTGAAAACGAAGGAGTACTGGACAGTTGTGTCTAGTCCTAGTTTGGGAAACCCCAACGGAAGGTATCCACGGACCCACTGGGGATTGAATCGTGGTTCTCCAGATTATCAGGCCAGCTCGTTGACCATTCAGTCACTTGGATGAAGTCCAAATGCTGGTGAATTCTAACTTTAGTCAGTTGGCGAGCTAGCGCTACAGCCAACCAATGCCAACGTTCAGCATCTGTTTCACCTTAACTCAGTTGACCCTATCAGTCACCAATTCTCATCATAACTTCAAGATATTCATCCAGTAACCACTAATCAGCTGGAGTTTGATACCCATATTATGGATACAGAATAATTCTTACGCAGAAATGATGGAATTTAGAATTCATGAGTCATCGGATTACAGCCCAGTAGTTGCGTCGTAACGCCAGAATCACGGATTCGACGCCTGGTGGGGTCATCGGCAGTCACTACTGAAGGTTCCTGAATCAAGACAAAACAGCTATCTATTACTTTCTGCTATTCTATGATTCTCTAAATAAGGTTGACTCGTGGCGAAATCGACACTGTAACAACTTAATGTTTTGTTTTTGAAACAACAGGTTTCCATTAGTTAAATGAATTTTCAATAGATTATATGAAAACTTTGTAAAGCCTGTTTTGGTTGCTTATACTGTTTATTATTTGAATAAAGCAAGAACAACAATTGTACCAGGATAATATGAGCTCATCTTTTATTATTTCGAGGATTCTTCTCAACTGGTTACAGCCTGGACGATAAAAAATATGAATTACATTACATTAAAGATTTGAACATACTTTTCCACGATCACAAGGAGTAATTGGTAGGAAGTAAAAGTAACATTGGTCCGGAATGATTTAACTAATTAAGAGTTATAAACACTGACTATTTATAGAATAACTAGACAATTAGGCTTGGAAGCAAAAACACAGTTGCGTATATATGTGTATGTATAGAAACAAGGTTTAGCTAGAAAGAGCATAACAAAAAAGTAGATTACGTAACTAAAGAAAATGTTTTATCTAATAGTCAATAGAAAAAAGGAAGAGAAAAGAACAAGATAGGGTGAGTCATGTTTAGATGAGAGAGTAGAGTTTTCTAAACAAGAAAAAGGGTGACTCATAAAAGATGCATATTTTGCTTTCACCAGGGCAGTGCAAGATTCACCACTGTCTCTTTCTGCGTACATAGATTTGGTTTAATTCGTTTGATAGCAATTGCTTCAGCAAAGCGCAGCAAGTTAGGTTTCTTTTGCTTGTTGATTATTTTGAACGACTTCAGCTTGTCTACATTATGACCAGTGTCTAATAGATGACGCGCAATCGCACTGTTTAATGCTTGCGGACCTTTCAGTCTCAGGTTCTTTGGTATGTGTTCAGAAATGTGGACAATAACCCTTCTCTCTGTTCTTCCAATGTATGTGCTTTGGCACGTACATGTAAATTGGTAGACACAGTTGGAGGTAACATGAGGTGGGTATTTATCCACTTTTGATTGTCTCAAACAACTGGTTGTTTGATAAACACATACAAGCTTGGCGGCTGGATATGTTCTTTTCAGGGTAGCGTCCAGTATGCATCTTATTCTACTAGCAGTGTGATCACTTTTGAATGCAAGCTGCAGAAAGATAGGCTTTTTCTCTACTGTGCTGCTTTTCACTTTTTCAACATGACGTCTTCCATAATTGTCGATGAACTTTTGTGGGTAACCGTTATCGCGTAGGCATTTCTCCACAATGGATAGCTCTTCCTCAATCTTTTCTTTTAAACACAGCTTTCTTACATGATCAAATAATGTTCTCACCAATACATTTTTGTAACTTATAGGGCAGAAGCTTTTGAAGTTAAGATAAACCGCCCTCCAGGTCTCTTTTCTGTGTGTAGATATCTTATGATTTTGCCATCTATATCTCGTTGGATACCCAGGTCAAAAAAATGGAACTTCTCCTCCTTTTCATACTCCATTGTAAACTTAATATTAGGATGGGTGCTGTTCAGGACTTTTAATACTTGAGATGCATCATTTTCTAAATGCCTTTATTGAATAGATCAGCTGGATTATATAAAGACAGTTGGTATCATAGAAAACAAAGCTAAAGTCAAATCATGCTATTTCCTACTCGTCAATTGATATGAGTAGTTTTCAAGCAGTAGGGTTTGCTATCCAAATCAGAGTGGTCTAAAAATCAGATAGCTATTTAGAACACTTTTGGCCAAGCTCACCAGCAGTCTGCCTAGTTTCACTCACCTCAGAGAGTCCAATCATTTCAAATCACCTAAATTCTAGTTAGCTACTTAGGTAAACTAGTAATACACTGATTGAGTCAAATTTCCAATTTGCAAATTACACAGTTTGAGGACTTTGAGAAAGATTTCGACAGCGTTGACCGTGAAGTAATTTGGAAACTACTCGAGTACTACGGCGTACCCCAAATATTCATCAACCTTCTTTAACAGCTGTACGACAACGGCACATGTCAAGTGATCCACATCGGAAAACTCAGCGAAGCGTTTGGAGTAAACACAGGAGTCAGACAAGGGTGCTTATTATCACCAATGATATTCCTAATTGTGGTGGACTGAATTATGTGTCAGACAGTGGGAAACGAGAAGACAGGGATATCCTGGACCGACCAACGTGAAGAACCTAGAAAACCTGGATTTCGCACACGGATGATTTATCTTTGATTTCATACAAAATCGAAGACTTACAAGCGAAAACCGACAAACTGGTCGAAGAAGCAGCAAAGACAGGACTCCAGGTGAACATAGACAAGACGGAGGTTCTGAAAATAACCAACCAACAACAACGACAACAGAAGCAGCAACATCCAACGCCAATCACCATCAAAGGGAGGGATTTGAAGGAGGTTACTTCTTTCACTTATCTAGGGAGCATTGTCTCAACCACAGGAGGAACGGACGACGATGTCAAATCGAGAATCGGGAAGGCGAGAAATACATTCATCAACCTGAAACCAATCTGGAAATCTTCGTCACTCAGCATCAACAACAAAATTCGGATTTTCAATACATACGTCAAGTCAGTTCTTCTATATGGATCAGAAACTTGGCCAGTGTGTCACAAAGAATATTTCCAACAGCCTGTTGCAGACCTTTATCAACAGCTGTCTTCGCTCTATACTGAAGATCAGATGGCCGGAAAGAATCACCAACAAGAAACTATGGGAACAAACAAAACAAGAACCAATCGCCCAACAAATATGCAGCAAAAAGTGGAGATGGATTGGACACTCGCTGAGGAGGCCGTTGGGTGACATCGCGTGTCAGGCCATAGGTCGAGTGGAACCCGAAAGGGAAGCGGCGAGTGGAACATCCAAGGGTGATATGGAGATCGTGTGAAGAGGAGCTGAATCAGTCTGGACTAACATAGATGCAGGTGAAAAGTACAGCAGAAGACAGAAGCAAGTGGAGGCGTGCAGTTGAAGCCCTATGTTCCACTAGGAACCCAAGGGAACAATAATAATAATAATAATATACAGTTTGAGGAGGTGAGGTTTTACCACAGTTTCATTTAGAAACCAAAATTATTATTCGGATCACAATATGTGATCTGCTTAAAACTATCAATGGCAATCAAAAGAAACAAGTATTAATTGCACGATGATATATACTACTGATCGACTGATATGAGTAGTTGAACACCACTGACATGCAAATTACTAATTCGATACACTTAATCATGAGATATACAATTGTTTATATCAGACAAACAAACAAACAAACACCAAATGAATTAATTAATGCATACCTCAGTATTTTTATATATATTCATATCATTAACCCTGCTGTGTTAGGTAACCAGACAATGTAAATAAAGTAATCAATAGAGTTTACTAATTTAGTCAAAACAAATTTATGAACTTTTCATAAAGTAGAAAAGAATAATGCGACAATGTCGTATACGAAAAAAAAAGAATAACAATATATTTTTTTAAAATTCTGTTGTCCTATAGTTCTCACTACAAGTTGGCAAAAAATTTAGGTGGCTTGATTAAACGCCTAACCGGTTCTTGTCCTTTGTTTCTCGATGAAATCGATTTTAAACCAGTGAAAGGACTGCCTAATTCTTAGAATGCTTCATTTTGGTAGGTGAAAAAACGCTGTGGAAACAAGTATGGTTCACATTTTTATTAGTTATCCAGCCAAGTCGAGGAGTGAAATAAAACAATGTTGACAGTAAGATGTTTGAACCAGTTGAAAGCATATTACTCAGTATTTATTAAAGAGCTCGAATCGTTACAGAGTACATCGGAGAAAAGATCAAACTCCATTTTGTATGTTTATAGGTGGACAGTCTCTGCTGAACATATGACTTCCCAAATGGACAGTGCATACATCAACAAGCTATCTGTTTCTTAGACAAATGAAATTAATAATATTTATTCAAGA